TAGCGATTGGCTTGCTAGCCGTATAAGAGGCTTGAGCAGTTTCCGCCCAAGTCGGAGATCTCTGAGAATCTCAGGAGGATCCTGAGAACCCCGATTCCGAGAATTCCGGGAGAAATCTGAGAGAATTCCGGCAAGGAGTCCACGATTACCTCATGGACTTCTACGTAAATCTCAGACCGAATGGTGGTTTGATCAGCCATCAAGAGTCTCTCCCCGTCACCGAACGATCCTGGACGTATCCCTACCCTGCGCGCTCGTTGAGAGTCACAGCTCGGACTCTCGTATCGGTTCAGAGAGCTCTCATCGTTCGAGTTTTCTTCTTTTCTTCCATCTACAACTGTAACCAAGCAAATTTTCCTGCCTACACCGCGACCATCTACGGTGTAAGTAAAACAATCTTTAATCAACCTCCACGTGTCAGTGCCTAATTCTAGTCCGCCGTGCTGACTTCCCCGGCTCACGTGCCCAGGCTGCTGGCCACAGCCCCTCGGCCCCGACAACCTGGAGGCAACCCAAGTCTGAAAGCTATGATTCTCTGGAGAAGGCAGGACTAGGGCACACAGGAGCTACGGTCTGTGCTCAGCTCTACTTCAGACTCCTGGCAAAACCATTGAGAGAGTTGTCTCATTTCTTTGGCTGTGTCTCCCCATCTATAAAGCAGAGGCAACACTTCCCAAGCTCACCGACTGTTTTACCAGCAAAGAGGTAGCTTAGTCTGACCTACTGCACAACAGAGCACCTGCTCAGGCAGGTGGTTGCTTAACCCTGAACCCTCCGATTAAGAGAACAGGCTCCACCACCTACACTATCTGGGCAACTCGTGCCCAGATGAGCACAACAAGTGTTCACAGAAAGTCCTCAAGGTAATGGAAAGAGTTAGGACCTGGAGGTGGCTAAGGAAAAGACTGGCCGAAATTGGTCCTGAGCAAGGGCCTCTTCATGGCTACATTTCCTGGAGACAGATTGTGTGAATCAGAAAACCAGTGTGGAAATTCAACCGGGCTCTGCCTAATGACTACACCAAATACAGGTCTCCACTAACTTACAGCGATTCTTAACAAGGGTGCCGCAGCACCCTGGAGTGCCTTAAGATCCTTTCAAGGGTACTGTGGGGTGCTGCACAATGTTAACATTGTTAGGTATGCAACCATAACTTCAAGAGAAACCCAGAGATTGCAAATAGAAATCCATAGCTGTGGTCTTTTGGAGTTCTTTTTCTGTAGTCACAAAAAGAGTGAAAACTAAGCTGGCATTTTTCAAGGGGCACCTTGAGTCTTAACAGGTTGAAATCCATTGATTTAAGGAACCTGGGGACTTGTCTTTTTGTCTCATGGCTTGGTGTTGCTTTGATTGGACTTATTAGAATTGTTTTGTTTTTTAAAATCAACAGCTAAAAGCTACCCAAGCGTGAGTAGGGTTTATAATACTTAATGTGCATATCATCTTTCCCCATTCACTTCTAACAGCTGGTAACCGCTGCATGGAGAGAAGAGGGGTTATTGGTCTCAGCCCCCTGTGGCATGCTGAAGCAAGTCGCTCAGGCAGGCTTACACATTGCTCTCTCCACAGTGGATGTCACTGCCTACTCACCTCAAAGGCTTTCCTGTCCAACTGGTGTCGCTTCTCTGTTTCCTGCAGCCTCGTGAACAGTCTCTTTGCTGTCTCCCGGATTTTCTCCACGTCTTCACCCACATAATCCTCCTCCTGAGGACATATGAACAGGGGAATTCCGTCATCACCTGGCCTCTGGCCAAGCAGACCCATCTCCTCTCTGCATGCATGGCGTCAGAACTCTTAACCTCAGTGCAACATAGCTCAAGGGTAAGAGGCTATCAGGGTAAGAGGGCAGGGTGGCACCTTAGATAGTAACTGGTTCAGAAAGCCTTTCACAGTATCTAATGGAGAAGGATGTTACCTACGGAAGCTCGAGCCCCTCTGACCCAGTCGGTGTCTAAGAAACTACCTATGTCCTACTTTCTGCCAGACTTAAGGCTAACAGCCAATCGCCTCTCTCCATCCACTTCAGACAGAATTGACCCCTTAAATTTTCCCTGTATCCACAAGGCTCTTGTGAAAAAACCTTGCAACACAATGCATGTGAAAATGCACTCAAGTTCTTACCAGGTACAAATAAGGTCAGCATAATATGCCTGCGCTTCAGAGAGCAAAGAGGGAATTATGCAGCAGATGTGGCTCAGCCTTGAATCTACTCCCCTGAGCTCAACAAATGAGAACACATTAACTGCTCTGAAGCCCCTCTCTGTTTCCATTACACACCTGGCCCACAGAGCTGGTATGCAAGCTCTCGGGGTGCCAGACTCCATTCTGTTTTTCCAGCGTGACCTATGAGAAAAAAAAAAACAAAAGCATCATGAGCCCTCCTTAAAAAACTGGGCTCACAACTTAGACAGAAGCCATGCAAGCTACTGATTGGTAGAGATCCCTGCAAGACTGTAATGATTAAAGAAGGTGGTAATTTTGATATTAGGGCACCCTTGAAATTAACTGGCAGTTCAGATGCAATCATCACTGGCTTCTGCAGATCTTCCTTCAGCATCTCCAGCAGCTTTTGTTCAGCCATGGAGACATCAATCCCAAGGGTGCACTTTGCCATGACTTCATGTCTGCCTTTGGCAAGTGAAGTGTCACAGCAATTTGATGCAAGGGAGATCCCCGTTACCTGGGCAGGCCGCAGGCTGCTCTTAGCTCCTTGTGGGTTCTCAGGTTTATTACTTATCTCTTCCCGCAGATTCTTCAAAGAAGTTCTAGCCTGCTAAATGCAAGTCCATTTAGCTTTGGCTTCAGAAACAGCACCAGCTGCTTTGTCATATAAATCAAACTTGGCACAGATGCCCAGAATGGGCTGGGAAGACATCACATGTGGCATGTGAGCTCGGACAAGGCGGGTCTTGTATCAGGTTGATTTTATGGCTAGTGGCTGGCCCGTCCTATTGCCAGCTAATGGCTTCCTCATCTTACCGAGTTGGTTTAAAGATGAAGCGCAGCTGTGGACAACTGAGTGATGCCCCCAAGGAGCCACTAATCTGTTATTAATCATCCTTGTCACTCACAGGCTACTCTTCACAGACATCAGGGGAGCAGCTACCACACACTGTCCCACGTGTCTGGGTCCCTTGGAAATGCGTGCACGCGCACACACACCCTTTGCACCTAAGATACCAAAATCCAAAGAAAAGGAACTGCAGCACTAGTGTTAAGGATCGCTGCTCTGGCAATACCAAAACCAAGTGGAGATATTAATACTTCATAATACAGAGCATTTTAAGCACCTTGCTCAAGAGCAGGCATTAAGTGGGAACAGGGGATGCTGCAACTATCACTTTGGACCACCCTCATCACTGATCCAGGGTCTTGATAATAAAGCATAACATGTGCCTGGACTATGTGGGTCACATTAGACCATAAGAACATCACATAAGAACTGCCATTGACTGGGTCAGTTATGGCTTTCATTGTTCCGGCAGCATGAGAACATTTCAGCTTAAGGTTAGACCAGGCCTAAGTTGGTATTGAAGAAAAAAAAACTTTGCCTTGAAGCTTGTCACTTGTATGGGTTTCAACCAGACAGGGAAGCGACTCACCCGCACAAAACTCACCAGGACAACTTACAAGCAAGCTGTAATATCGATGCCCCAGAAGCTTAAATACCATACGCAAAAGATGAAGGATCTTAGCAGCTTAGAGAGCAATCATCAGTGGTTCTAACATGCTAGGGATGGCTGAGGCCTTGGTACTTTTAAAAAATTAGCTTCCAAAAGCATTTAGACTATTCCAGTTACTTTACATCTGGGTTGCAGTTACAACAGTAAGAGGCAATACCAACAGTTCCCATTTTTTTCTTCAAGAAATCCCCATAGCAGAGTTATGGAGACAAGCAAGACAGCCCAGCAAGAACCCAGGCATTGATCTCAACCCTCCACTGCCTACAACCAGCTCTCTGCCTTCTAAATATCACACACCCCCATTGTGGCTGCAATGGGGAAAGGGAAGAGTTCACCCTTAAAGTGCCTCTTCCCTCCTCAAAGGTGGGGCAAGCCCCAAGAAGCTGCCACCTAAGGAGTAGCTCTGGATATGTGCCCAGGCATGGCACAGGAGAGCTCAGCCATTCAAATCCAGGCTGTGCAGCAGAGCAATTAGTCAGGGCAAGTTAATTTCCAGGAGCCTGATTTGAGCACAGCCCTGTCCAGGCAAGTCAGCACAACAGAGGGTACAGCTCTGGCGTCAGCTTGCCTGGGCACAGAGAAGGCGGCTTGGGCAGCCCACTCACACCTGAGCCATCAAGGCAGTCTGAGAAGCCCCTGCAACCATAGACCACTGTGCCCAGAACCTGGGGCAGGAGCAAAGTGGGGAAATATCTGAGCTGAAAGATTTCTTTACGCAGAAAGCAAGTGCCAGGAAAGAAGTTTCCAACACGGCTCCCGGACCCGAGGGCACAGACATGGAAGGAATTCAAGCAGTTAAGTTCCTATTGAACCCTCCTGCTCAGCCACAAGCCACAGATAGTTACCTCTTGGACGTAACGGACGTCCCTCTTCAGCTGGCTGATGCTTTCCTCTGGCTTTGCCTTCTCCTGACTCCTTCCTCTGAGGTAAACCTGAATCGGAGACAAACAGATGCACCTGTGAAATGGCTCCAAGAGCCCAGAATTGTTCCAGTCGGACACAATGAACAAAGCCCCAAGTCCTTCAAAACCCTCAAAGACTTGTCCTTTTCTTCCAATCCTGCCTTCGCCAGGTTGCTGCTGAGACCCATACACCCAAACGACAGCAATTCCAACCTGCTTTGAAAACCACTGCCTCTAGCCTGCTCTTTCCAGCAGAGCTGATCAGCAGTGGAGACTGCTGGGGTCTGCCTGTCATGCTCTGACCAGATGAAGAATGGTTGCATTCGAAAGTGTTCAGCTTTACACCACCCAGGCAACTGGTTCAATAACAGAGATCACCCCCCAACAAAACATCTTTGCCCCTCACACTTAGATTTTAAAGCATTTCTCTACGCTCTCCCAGCAAACCCTAAAAACACTTAGGTTTTTTGTTGTTGTTTCGGTTCTCAGAGCTCCTATTTGGGCCAGTTCATGCTAACTGAATCCAGTTCCTGCCTCTAAACATGGAAACACTACTCAGCAGCACTGCTGAAGTCAGGGGAAGGCAAGTAACTGGATCAAGGCGAGACAGCTTCACTTCAGACTAGACCGTTTCAGGGAAAGCTGCTGTGCAAATGTGGCAGCCAGCTCTCTCCCCACTTAAGGGTGCACATGATTATGGTGGCTGATTCCCTGCTTGTAGAGTCCAGCCCTAGGTTAAGTCTGCACTAAGCAGTGAGGTTAGCTTCATGCAAGTCCCCAAGGAAGTTCATTCCGACTGGCTGGGGAGCGCAGCCGTCTCTAACCTTGATGATCTCCTCGTGGCCGTCATTGGATTTGATGCATTCTGAAGCCAGGGAGTGACTGTTGGTTGACTTGTTGGCCACCATGGCAAAGGCCTTTCCAACTGGCTGCAAGGGATAACATAGCAAGAGACTTAAATCAGGGGTGTCAAACTTATCTAGCCTAGAGCCCTCTTCCCCCACCCCACACCCAATTCTGCACGTGCTCCAGGCGGTCTGGGACCCATGCTACATACAGTACCCATACCACACGTGGCATCCACCCCAGTCAGTCTGGAACCCAAGGCTATTATTCTGAGAATGCCAGCTGGGTGGGTGCTGCATCCAGTTAAGACCCTGGACCAGCCAGAGACACCATGTGCAGCATGATTCAGGGCCCATATGATGGGGCGCCACTGGCCAGATCCAGCCCACAGGCTGCATCTTTGACACCCTGGCTTAGACAGTGGCAACTGGCTCAAACAGCCTGCCCAGCTCCTAGCACAGAGCACCTCAGCCATCAACCTGCAGCCCTCCAACAAATGGAGGCTGTGTGAAGTGCAGTGCTGGAGATAAGTTTCCACAGAGCAATGTGAACTGCAGAGGTCCATAGACTGGGGTCTCTCCATTGTAACAAGTGGTACAGATCACTGAGATCCCTTGCCAAAACTCTTCTCCCCCTCCCTGGAGTTAATACAATGGGAACGATGCAGACAGGCAAGCCAAGGGAGAGGAGACGCAGGAGCACTTCCACTCCTCTGAAATCAGTCAAACATCCCATCATGTTTGATACAACTCCAATCAGGGCAAGCAACGAGTTGCCATTTATGCAGGCAGCAGGGTGTTTGCACCAAGGGATACGCACCTTCTGCTTAACTGGCTCCCGCCAGCTGCCCGACGGGTCATTCTGCAGAGTCAGCCGCAGTACCGTCACACTATCCTGAAACAAGAATGCCAAAGCTGGATGTTACAAAGGAGTTGGGCTGCCCCCTCCGCAGCCGCAGTCAGAGGAAACTCTCTCTCCTCTCCCAGTGCAATGCAGTTAATGCCAGCCTCAAATGCCAACCTACAAGGCAGATCTATCTGCACCCCTCAAACTCCTTCCAGTGATGGGAGGAACACAAGTAACAAGGGCAACTTCTGGTTTCATCTCCTTTGAGGAGATGCCATCTGGGTGGCACTGGTGGGCTGGAAAGATTACATCAGCCCCATCCTGAAAGGACATGTTCAGCATGTGTGCAACAGGGTTATTTGGGGGATGCTGTATACATGAGGCTGCTACCAAGTGTGACAGGTGACAAGCTCCTCCAGGGTGAAGCACCAAGGATGGTGGAATTGGTCCCTGCCTTTGAGACAACATAAGCACCCTGCATGGGCAGGGAAAGCCCCAGGCAGTCAAGGCTGTGCAAAGCCACTCTCCCCAAGAACAGTGCAGTGCCAGTGCTGGGGGTGTCAGACAGGGGAACAAGCCAGCACGGGGGCTCATCACCCCAGTCTGTGCTTGAGGGGCCCAGAGCAGCAGCTGGACAAATACAGGCTCCTCTACAGCTACAGATAAAGTCACGATGGGATCTAATGCACGATCCACACAATCACGATCTCCCAGCCACTGCCTGGAGAGTCCCCGAACCCCTGCGGCTGGGAAACCATGTTGCCTTACAATCTCTCAACCCCAGAAGTGCATCATGCTCCCCAGCAACTGGAAGACGGCAGCAGCTACGGTCTCCCAGCCACAGGACTACCTACAGGTGCAAATTCAAGCTGGAGGGAAGCCAGCTATAAAGCTATGTGTTTTCAAGCACTAGCTGTACAGCTGGCTGGACTTTAAGTTAATTTGCACATACAGGCAGTTTACATTTACTGCGCTAGTCACAAGGCAACTGTGCAATAGGTGTAATGTGTGGCAGGGGTCCCAGTTACACAGCTCAGTCAGCAGGAGCTCAGGTTCCTTGGTTCTGCGGCACCAGCGGTTTTTCCCCTAAGAGGCAAGAGTTTACACCCCCCAGACCAGAGCCCCCCCTGCTCCTCCAGCCGAAAGCCTGGCAACTTGGCACTGCCACGAGTAGACAGAGTTCCACACACTCTCCAGCAGCCATAGCTCTGCCATGCAAAGGAAAACATCCCACGTGTAATCCTTTTACAGGGGTTTGCCCTCCCCCCTGAACTTCATGTCAGTATTAGCATAAGGAGCAAATGGGCGGCTGGAACATGACAAGCGAGCTGCCAGGCACAGGTGGGCAGTTGCATCTCGGAGTGCAGGGCTGACAACAGCTGTCAGACCAACTCCGCACCAAGCTGCAAAGGTGTTTCTGTCAGCAAGAAACTCCCCTACGCCAGTGGTGCCCAACCTTTTTGCCCTGTGGGCTGGATGGACACAGGCCCGATCCAGCTGCTGAGCCAGATGTGGTGCATGGGGTGTGAGAGGCAGGGTCCAATATAGTCATGCTGAGGGTCAGGGAGCAGCTCAGCTCCAATCCAGCTGCAGAGGGAAAGCTCCAACCCAGCTGCAGAGGAAAAGAGTGGAAGCCAGCCACAATGAGAAACAGGGAAAGGGGCAAAGGAGGGGGCATAGACTGGCCCTAAGCTGGCCATACAGGGGTGGAAGCGGGCATTGTCTGGCCCCAAGCAAGCCACAGTGGTACAGGAAGAGGCTGTAGACCAGCCCCAATCCAGCCATGAGGGACGAGGGAGTAGCCTGGCCCTGGCCATGCAGGGAGAAGGAGAGGGGGCATGGCTGGGCTGCAATCCAGCTATATAGGGTTTGGGAATCTTGCAGTAGGGGAGGGGTGGCAGTATTTGCCACTGCTCCCCCCTGCAAATTTCCCAACCTGTGGGGAGCCCCATGGGCTGGATTTGACCCACAGGCTGGAGTTGAGCAGCCCTGCCCTACGCCATAGGCTTACAGCAATATCTCCACACGCCATCTGAGCAAAGGCTTCAGAAAAAAACAGCACACCAGGAAGTAGATTCCAAAAGAACACCTATATTTACTGTCAAAATAGTCAGGGTATATTCCTCTCCTGCCAATTCCAACACCACAGGACACAAGAAACCCTCCTGCAGGCAACCTGTATTCTTGGCCCAAAGCCATTATTTACCAGCATTTCCTTCTATTGAAGTGATTCTCCGATGCAGTCCTGCTCTCGCCACTCCACTCACACGCTCGGATTGCTTCACCCCCATGCCCTATTTCTCTGGCTATTTACATAAAGGGCAATTAAATTATTCTGAGAAACTAATTATATAACAGGAGAGAAGTGTGGCAGCAGTTAAATCCCAAATCAGAAGTCGCTTGCTGAACAGGCTAAGTTTTAGCATCACTTAAGGTCAAGTAATTTCATGAAAATGTATCCTCAGTTTTAGCACATACTTCACCAGAGCTTCTTCATGCAAAAGACCTGTTGGCAGCTAACGAGCTGGGGGTCTTTCAAAGCAGCTAGACCAGGGGTACTCAACCTGCAGCCCACAAGCCAGATCTGGCCTCCAGCACTCTGTCACCTGGCCCAATACCAACGCTGAAAGCCACCCTCACCCTATTTTCATGTCACAAAGACCGGAGCCTTTCTGAACAGTGGGCAGTGAATGGTGGTGCTCAAATGGTTTAGGAGATCTGATCTTTAGGTTCTGAAGTTCCTTGCAACTGGCTCCCACAGGGAACCAAACTTCAAAGATCGCTGCTCCATCCACTTCCAGTGGGCACGTGCAGGGACAGATCTAGGGTTGGGGCAGTGGTGTAGTTGCACCCGCTTGAGTCTTGCTCCACCTAAATTTTAAAACCAACTGCCTGGAAGGGGCGGCAGCATTTCTAGGCAGGCAGTCAATTGATTTTGTGGCTCATGATCCTGCTATTCTCTCCACTCTGCAGGTGTTAAAGACTCTCTTTCCTTTACTGGCCTTTCTGCTCTATTATGCAAACTTTCCCTGCATCACTGCTGTTTGTTCATCATTCCTGGTAATGCCTCTCCTCTACTTCACAGCCTTGCAAACTATTCTTAGCTCTAGCTAAACACCTTAACTCAGGTGTGGTTATATTAACTCAGGTGTAGAAATGACTGGCTTTTTGAATAACTGAATTGAATAATACAGCACTAGCCCCGTAGCATATTAGTAAAGCTTTTAGTTTCTCTTTAACTGGAGAAAAATGTGTTGTGTCTATGTGATGATGCATCACACCATCTGTACCCCCTTTTCAAAGCCCTAGATCCACCCACGGACACCTCTTGCCTCAAGAAAAGACCTGAAGATGCTAAAAGTTCAGTGAGATCATTGCCATCAGCATTAAGCCCCAAGGAGAAATTTGACAGCAGCAACTCTAGACCAGAGAGAGGAAAACTTGGTGTGGTAGTTCTTGGGAGGCAGATGGGAATCAATCATGAAAAAGGACAAGAGCAAGCAGAGGCAGAGGTACAGATTCAGTGAACTTTTCAATACACAGAGGTTAGGAGAAAACTGGTGTGTTGGCACTGATGTAAGAGGGAATGTGTCTGCTTTGGACCAGCAGTGGGTGAGGGAGAAATGAAAAAGTCCATTCCTCTGGGGGAAAAAGTGCCAAGGCCAACCCACAATGTGTGCTTCTAAGCAGGGAGAACACGCACCGTGTTGAACATGCCGCTGGAGCAGGGCTGGGCAGTGAGTCACCCTGCCACAGGTCTGCATGTACACTGCAAAAACCTGCCCAACAAAGGAGATGGTTTGAAATGTCGTGAGCAAACACCTTGGAATCTAGATCCCAGCCTGAAGAAAGTCATCTGAAAAAAAAAAATCAAACCAGCAACCTGAAAAAAAGGCCCTGTCCAGCTGTTTGCACCTGCAGATGGTAGGAGCTGACTCACATTTCGGTTGCTTTTTCCAGGTTCGGCTTACTTCCTTATTCTGACAACACCCTGCAATAAGTAATTAGCCAGCTCCTTTTCTGCTGAGATTAACTTTCTGGAAGAATGAAACGTACAAAAAGAAGTATGAACACAATCCCAAAGTGGCTGCCTGGCTAAACACATGCAGGTAGCTGCTCACTTCACAAAAGGACCTAAGAACCCCAGGAGATTTGAAGGGGACAGTACCAGGACAAGCCCAACCTTACACCTTCCCCAAGAGCTCCAGCTGGCATATGGTTGACTCTGGAAACTCCAGAAAGGTTATATCAGGGACAAATCCTCTCTAACATGGGTTTAACCTTTGGGAGCTTGCTGAAGCCAGCTCTGGTTTTCTTCCCGGGATCTTTCCAAACAACCTTAAGCACTGCCAATTTATACACAAAAAAAAAAAAAAAAATTTGATTCTCAACCCTAGGCAGAACATGTTCTGCACACCCAGGTTGGCAAGCACACCCAGGTTGGCAAGAAGAGCTGTGTGCTTCCAAGGAAAAAGCCTCGTTTCAAACAAACATCACGTGGCAACATCTCAGGCAAGATCATATGAGCCTCTGGGCAGCAGAGAGCCAGTGGTTATTTCACCCTATTAAAAGCTCTTTAGCATCAAGAGCTAAATATTTTTTGGAAGAAGTTTTTCAACTATTTGAGTTGGTCTGATAAAAGATATCAGATTTACCCAAAGATCCTTGTTTGCCTTTAGCACCAACACACATGCATGGGCAGATCTAGGATTTTGAGAAGGGGGGGTGCAGATGGTGAGATGCATCCATCACCACTTATCAAACAACATATTTTTCTCTAGTTAAAAATAAGCTAGAAGCGTTACTAAAACACCAGGGACCTAAGGCTGGATTATGTGGTTAGACTGAAGCCAAGCAAATGTAACTTCATTAGAATGAATTCAAAACGATATGCAAAGTTGTGAAATAGGAGCTACCCAACCAGAAGCAGAGAACAGACAGCAGAATGGCAGAACAAAGGTTGGCTTGATAGGTGGAACATCAAGACTTTTTAGGAGAGAGGGTCGTTTAACACCTGTGGAATGAAGTGTTTGGAAGGAATCAGGTAGATTATAATGAGCCATGACATTCAAATGAATCCCTCAGCACTGCCAAGCAGTTGGTTTTAAACAATGGGTGAACCAAGAATCAAGGAGGGGTGCAAGTGCAGCAGTACACCCCCACCCCAAATCCATCCTGGCACACATGCATAGAGAATTCACAACCATTGACTGACAAGCAGCGGCTGGGCAATTTGGGTCAATTCTTACTTGCATTCTGGTAAGAGACTGTCGCCATTTAGAGAAGCTTTGGGTTTTAAATAATGAGCAGATATCTCGACCACAAGGTTTATTCATGGTTGGCAGCAGCAATACAGCTGTGGGGACCAAGTAAGAGATGCGAGGTTATGAAAATTGCTCAGGACACAAGATTTAAGTTGTTCAAAGGAGCCTACTTCCTGCACAACTGAAGCTAAGTCACTTCAGAAAGGGAAATAGGGACAGGTTTCCCATGCACTGGATCTGCTCATTTCAGATCTTGTTTTGGGAGCACACGTCTCTTGCCCTAGTATCAAAGCAAGCAGGAGGACAAGTGGATCCGATCAGGAGGAGAGCTTCTGAGCACAGATCTCTCCCCTGCAAACCTGTCTAGAGGCAAGGGAAAAAAAACTTGGGAAGAAAACGAGGCTCTGAAGACTTCAAGGCATGGAGTAAAGACAGAAAACTGTTTACCTCATTGCACTGAGTCATAAATCCTTGACAGCAACACTGCCTCAACTTTTTAACCTGTCACATCACTTCATCTCAGTCCCTTTACAAAATAGGAACAGGACTTGACCATGAGGGATACTGCAAAGAGCAATTAAATTACCAGTGTTTCAGGGGCGTAGGTTGTAGCCACGCTGATTTAAGGACATAGGCAGACAAGGTTCTTTGGGTAAATCCGATAAATAAAATCCAGGATTTACCCAAAGAACCTTGTCTGCCATTCGTTTATCAAGTGTTCTGAAGATGCAAACGATTGCAGAAGCACTTGTTACGGCAATAAACACATTGGACATGCATGCACAAGGCACCGATTGTTGTTCCTTATATGGTCAGAAAGGCTGCCGGGGAATTAGGATTCTCTGTAGGAGATTTGAAAGATGAGTCACATTCGATGGGCTTCTTGCGAACAAAGAGATCAGCAGGAGATGCTGGCACGAGAGTGAGAAATTCAACACAGACAAGATTAATTTGGCAGAAGAACTGAACAGACAAAATCCAGATCTTCGCGTTTCCACCCTGGACTCCACCCTATGGAATTAAAAAACAGATTTCACTCCTGCTTAATACCTCATGGAGAGAGAAAGTTGGATCAGGTGGCTGACACAGGATGGCTGCCGGCATGTTGTGACAACGCACTCCCTCCTCCCTAAAGACATAGGGGTCTGAGGTAAGCCAGGTCTGAATTCCTGGGCATTTTGGCCTCTGCTTTATTACTAAACTCAAGAAGAATCCAAGCCAAAAAAAACCAGCCACTGGCCTGCTTACAAAAAATGGGTCCGGCTGAATGCAATTCAGGGGAAGGGAACAATAAGAAAAAAAAAAAAAAAACCACAGGCTGCACTGTAATCGAGCCCCTAGCAACCCTAACCTATTGACTACCAGCAGCAGCTGACAAATCAAATTACTCTGCTCTCATTATTGAAATCCCATAGTAATTAAAATCCTGACTACAGGCAAATTAAGAACAGTAACAAGAAGTGTGGAATTCTTCTGGCACAACCGGTACATTGTTATTTGCGCTCGCATACTAGAGAGACTGCATGTCGCACATTTGAATTTTCCACAAAGGCAATAATCATTGCAAGACGTGCATCATCAAGAAGTGTTTTAAATCCACGTACAGCTGAAGATGAAGCGTTCGCCACTTCTGGTCACGTTAGTCTCTAGGAAGGTCCTTTTGCAGCCACCTACCAGGGCTCTTATAGTTCGTTCCCACCAGCAGCAAGTGTTGCAGACAAGATGTACCTATGGCTTTGATTCCCATAAAAAAAAAAAAAAAATCAATCTACACGCCATGCGGACAGTGATTGATAGCTTAAATCCGCACGGAAGATGTGGGGCTTTGAGAGTAACTAAAACACATGCAGAAGGTTATGGATGGATGAGAGCAAAGCACAAGATCGCAGTTTGACGGGAGCCCGACAGAGTTTGACATCTTCGCAAGTCAAAGCAAGCAGGACGCGGCAGGAAGAGCTCAGTGCAGAGCCGTGAGCCATGTTTGCCACATGTCAAGCGGTGATCATCCAGTTCATAGTCCATGATGATGGCAGCTCTCTAAAGCCAAACAAAGCAGCAGCAGCAAGCGGCGCAGGGTGGTGGATAGCGGGGTCTTCATCACCCATCTTTGGGGGAGCTGCTCTGTCCCCGAACCTTACCTCCCGTTTGTGAAACTGAGTCAGGGGCCCCGTCCCACTCCCCTGCCAGGGAGATCACACGCACCTCAGAGCCCGGGTCATGCTAGAGTCGGCCCAATGCTGGCACTGCCCCGACCCCCACCCCCCAGCACCAGGCTGGTGAGCAGATACACCAGGGCAGGGCATGGCACATAGGTGCCTCAGCGGGGAAGGAGCAAGGGGGGCTTGACCCCCGCCGCAGTGCCTCACAGGGGGGCTCCTCACAGCCCCCCCAAAGCAGGGGCAGGCACCTCAGGGCAAGGGGGGGGGCAAACACACACTGGGGTGCCAGAAGTTAGAAACCAGTAATTTTAAACGGTGCGGGGGCTGGAGCCATTGGGACCTCAACCCAGCGACCCCAACAGCCTCCCCCTCCCGGCCTCAGACCCCACCCCACGCGTGGGCCCGCTCACCGGGCTTTCCACGTCCGGCTGCACCTCCACCAGCGTGCACCAGCCCCGGCGCCCGTTCATAACTGCAAGTCGCTCCGCGTCCAGTCCCAGCCCAACTGAGCGGGAAGCACGCCGCCCCGCCCACTATATATGGCCGCGCCCCTGCGCCGCGCCCTCAAGCCACGCCCCCGCCGCTGGGATCCGGGCAGCCCCGCCCAACCGCGGGCAGGTGAGGCGCCCCGCCCCCCGGGCGGCCGTTAGGGGCGGAGCCTCGTATGCAAATGAGTGGGTCCTTTGGTGCTGTCGCCTCACGTCCGCCCCCCCGGGCATTTTCTGTAGTTGTGATACGTGTCTAATGCAAACATAAAGTAAAAACCCCTCGGGCTCTGCACGCCCCCAGCCAGGAGAGAGGGGCGCGCCCCCTCCTCAGGCAGCCCCAGGTGCCATTAACCTCCTTGGCAACGGGGCCAGGCTGGTGGCTCCTGTTCAGCTTCTTGCACCGCGGCGCCCTCCATCCCATGCCCACCAGGGCGAATGACCCTGTGCTCCACTGTGGTCCCGTGTGCCATCGCACCCGGCTGGTGGCTCCTTCGTGGAGCCGCTGTGTGTATCTATCCCCGAGGCGCGTGCCAGGCTGCAGCCCCTGCCTGCTGCCCCCAGAGCCGCCTTTGCCCTTTGCTCCCAGCCCTGTTTTTGTTCCAGTTGGGCCAAGAAATCAGCGGATGTCCCCCTGCAAACGAGCGGGGGCAAACCCCTCCCAGGGGGCACGTGCCTCAAACGGGCCGTGGCGCACAGCAGTTCATGCTTAATGCTCCTCTAAAGCAGCTGGGGCTCGCGCCCATGATCCTCTGTGAGCCAAAGCGGCCTCGCCGTGGTAGAGATCAGGCGCCGAAAGAGACAGGAGCCCGGGTCTGACCTGGGTTTCCAGCCTCCAGCATCTAAGGTTGGGAAGCTGTGGTGCCCTCGCCCCTGCGCTGGATGATGAGGTCGAACGGTTATAAACTACTGCGAGACCGTTTCAGGCTGGACATAAGGAAGAGTTTCTTTACTGTCCGAGCCCCCAAGGTCTGGAACAGCCTGCCACCGGAGGTGGTTCAAGCGCCTACATTGAACACCTTCAAGATGAAACTGGATGCTTATCTTGCTGGGATCCTATGACCCCAGCTGACTTCCTGCCCTTTGGGCGGGGGGCTGGACTCGATGATCTTCCGAGGTCCCTTCCAGCCCTAATGTCTGTGAAATCTGTAAAATAGCGACCGCTGCCCCTTTCCTCCAAGAACAGGTCCGGTCCCTTGGCGAATCTGGCTGAACCGGCAGCTTCCCCCGCACCCCATGGATACAATTATAGGGACGGCACGATGCTGGGAGGGAGCTCCAGGGGTCACCCCTGAGTCCCACGCCCTGCCCCAGGCAGGATCACCCCCCGTGCAAGCCATCCCAGACACATCCACCATCTCAACTCATTGCAACCCTGACCTGACAGACATCACACTGAAGCTGCCACAGGGAAACGTGGACTGCGGCAGCTGTAAAAAGTTAATATAGACTCAAGATACCCCAGACAGAGGCCATGCCCCTGCTACAAAGGAAGGCAACTCCTCTCCCTTCCGTATCAATCTGACCAGGGGCGAAATTCCTTCCTGACCCCAAATCTGGGGATCGGTCTGACCTGCGCAGAGGGGCAAGACCTCTAGCCAGGACCCCTGGCTTCAGGTCCCAGCCAGAAGCACGCACAGCCCCTGAGCAGGAACGCCCTCGCTCTGCAGTCACTCGCACGGAGGCGATACCTGCATCACGTGGCTGTCGGTTGTCTTCTAGTCCCTTCCCCAGAGCCGGAGTTACCGAGGGGAAAAAAAAAAGAGTAAAGGTTGTGTTATCCCTCTGCTATGTAGCAGGCTGTACGCGCTGCGGCCGTCTTCTGGCATTTCTTCGCTGGGACCTGTTTATCCCTCACGCCCTTGTGGAGATTGCAGCATGCTGTTGCAATGGTGCTGGTTTTAGGTGTGCGGCTCCCCTGCCTTCTCCTTCGGCACACACCCATCTCCTAGCTGCTCCGGGAACGCGGCCTTTTCCTAATCTCCTGGAGCTCTGCTTACGTGCCAGCGGAGAAGGCGGCGGGCCAGCCACAAAACCTCGCAGCCCTTCGAGACCGGGCTGTGTTACCCTCCCGCTTTGCAGAGGAAAAAACTGCAGATCATTATGATGGATTAAAACCCCTCCAAATTGCCCAGGAGAATCCAGAACAGAATGAAAAAGCAAAGCATCTCTTCTCTCTTACGCTTGCTAGTCATCCAGGCAGCAAAAGGACCCAGGTGTCCTGTTTCCTAGTCTCCCACACCCAAAATATGAACCCAGGAGTCCTGATACTCCTCTGCTCCAACCACTACATTGTACTGCCAACACGAGTGAGCAACAGGTCCCAGAAGCCCCCACCTCGTTTAAGCCGAGCCCCTTCCCAATTCACCAGGGAGGCACCAAAACAGCCTGGAGCTCAATTTCTCCCCCCAGCACCGGGTTTGCAGAGGCAAAAGGTGAGTTTGTTGTCACAGAGAATCCATCTCGTTAGCTGTGTTTGATCTGCTGCCAGCTTCCCCGCTCAGGCCCTGCGCGGCAGAGCCGGCCCGGGCGTTGGAAGGGGATCAAGGGCTCAGGGATCGTGGGGGGTGCGGCTGGGAGCCTCGCACTGGAGCGGCTCTCTCTCAAAGCAGAGGAAGGGAAGGAGGGTGGGGTGTTCTCCGTGCCTGCTCCCCGCTGCCCGTGCCAACGAAACCAGAGGGAAAACACAGACCACGGCTCAGTACACGTGAGGGCTCATGGAGCAGCCCATGCGCTGGGCCTGGGGTTTGCTCTGAGGATAGGGCGATAACCGGACCCCACCAGGGCCTTCTGAGACTGGTCCCATCCCTCAGTCTGGACACGAGACAGACGTGGCCCCTGTCACCGCCGTGTCAGAGCCTCTCACCGCCCCCTTGGCAATGGGCCTGTCGGCCCTAGCAGCCCCTGCCTTCCTCCCTTGTGACGGAGGGGGCTCAGAGGGGCACCTGGACCCGCATCCCCGACAGGGCTGGGCTTCTGTTGGTCCCTGCCTGGCCACATCTAGCCAGTGCAGATGGCTATTGTACAAGGCCCAGCAGACGCAGTCCACGCCAGCCTCCGGACTGGGAGAACGGGTCCCGCTCCCCTCCACAGCCAGTGCAGAGGGGATGTCCTCTCAGAGGGGATGTCCCAGTCCTCATCCTCCTTCCCCCCAGCAAAGCAGCCAGCTTTCTCAGGACCAAGAAGCCACCATCTCCCCCTGCAAGAGAGTGAGGACACAGCCCCTGGACCGGAGCAGCAGGTCTGATCCCCTCGCCAAGCTGCTGCTGCTTCCTCGTCGCACCTCCTGGGATCAATGCCACGGCAGTGCTCACCTGGCGCAGGACCCGCTCCTCTTCCTCCCAGGAGTAGAAACCCGGGGCTTCTGTCCCCACTTCAATGGCAGAAGGCAGCAGCGGTGGGGTCAGTGACCTCCCGCAGGCCATCTCCTCTCCTGTCCAGAAGCATCTGTAGCAAAGCCAACGAGTCATTAGCTTGCCCTGCCGATGGGTGGGTCGCTTCCCCTTCTCCTCCCTCCTCGCTGCTAATTACTACATTCCAGGAGGTTGAGATCAGGCCTCCCCGGGTGAGCTGAGAAGGCTGGGAGCAGATTCAAGGTAAACGTTGTGCCTCAGTGGCACTGGGGAAGCCTTTGGGGCACGGTGGCATGGTGAGATGGCAGCTGGGATGAGAGCCAGCCTGACATCCTTGAACTGACTCCGTCTCCAAGAACCAGGTTGATGGCTCCAAGGACGTATCTCTCAGTTCCTCCTATTCCCCAAGGGGTTGTTGCCTCTGGAACAGCTCCACCAGTGCCTCGAGGGTGGAGCTGATCCCCTGCAGTGTCTCGCCCACAGGTTCGGCCTGGCAAGGTTTTGGAGCTTGCCCAGAGACACAATTTCAGTTAATTTTTCTCTCACCAGAGCTAATACTGCATGAAGCATTTGCTAAAGCAGCAGGTCTGGGCTCTGATGAAGAGTTCAAGGGGGCAAGGCACTGGAAGTCCTGCTCTTGGCCCCAGGCTGGGGGGCAGGCATGTCCCAGGACTGGAGCAGGAAGCCGCCCAGACTCCTGGGTTCTGCTCCCAGCTCTGCTGCTTCCCGGGGCCCAGCTCAGTGTCTCCCGCAGCAACAAACAACCAGGTTTTGCTGCTCCACATCCCAGTTGGAGACACCTCTGGGACATCTGGCTCAGAGTGGGGCCTTAGTCTCCCTGTCTGTAAAATGGCAATAAACGTATCCCCCCCCCCCGGGGGGCCTAGTATGATTTTCAGGTGCTCAAACCCCAAGGGCTTCAGGCACCACTAGCAGGGACCCCCTCAGCCAGTACAGGCCCTGCAGGTGCCATCCTGCCAGGCAGGCCTGGCTCAGAGCCTGCACGGAGCATTTGGCCTCTTTGCAGCTCTTCAAGGCCTCTGCAGGAACAGGGCTGCCAGGAGGAGGTGGAGACAGAGAGCTTTGCTCAGTAAACAGAGCCCCACGGGTGCCTCCCTGCCACACATCGCAGGCCCAAGATGACGTCCCACATTCTCTCGTCCCACGGGAGCAGGCCCACAGCACGCGATGAACCAGCCCGGCAGCTCCCAGCTGCCTTGTGGACATGGGTGGCTGGAACAGGCATGACCAGAGATCACCTCACATGATGTTCCCGGTTCCCACCCGTCATTGGCAGTGCCAGCGTTGCTGCAGGCCCCTGGGGCAGGGAGCCAGGGCCCTCTGCGGACTGGAAATAAACCTTTTCCTTACCAGCTCCCAGCCCTCCCATCTCCTAGGGGTGGTGTCACACCTGCCTCCTCCTTTGCTCTGGGTGGGACCCTCAGGCTTCCCTTCTACTGAATGGGTCTGTACAAAATCACCACTGGTCCTTGGGGGGAGAGAGGCAGGCGGTGCACTGACTTCAGTGGCCTCCAACCAGTTCGGCAGTCTACCCCCAAGCTGACTTCCAGCCCTGGGGTGATAAATAGCTCGGTTACCTGCTGGCAGGGCTGCGCTGGGGGCTCCTGGCCCCAGTAGCCAGGAAGGAGGGAGGTGAGCACCAGGTGCAGCAGGGGAAGGTAGGGCCCTTTCCCAGCCCTGCTCCTCCTGG